GATAACTTTTTATTGTGATAATCTTGAAGCAGGTCTTATGGGTCCTTGGCTCTAACTTGACACTACTGATTGATCTTGGTTTTCTAGCTAAGGAAATTGAGACCTACAGATGTGTAAGGCACTCTGACTGAGAGAGGACCCTGGCCTGTCTGTAGCTCAGGTGGTAGTAGATTCAGGACTAGAACACAGGTCTCTTGACTCCTAGACTTCCACACGTTTCCCAAGGTTGGAACTAGTAAGAGCAGTTCTAAAACACAGGGCAGGAGCTTGAGGCTCTGCTGTGCTTGTGCAGGAGGGAGCTGCTGAAGTGACCCTTTTCCTGCCCTTCCGATTGCAGATGTTTCCATTGAGATGCCAGAGGAGCTAGACATCTCCCAGTTGAGGGGCGCAGGGCTACAGCCAGGAGAGGAGGAGCTGCCTGATATTGCCCCACCCCTGGTCACTCCGGATGAGCCCAAAGGTAGCCTTGGTTTCTATGGCAACGAAGACGAAGACTCCTTCTGCTCCCCTCACTTCTCCTCTCCGACATGTTAGTGATTCTTCTTCCTGCCTGTCTCTCTTCCTTACTAATGGGGGAGGGCGTCTCTGCACTGCCTTCTCCATCCTTTGTTTCTCCTGTCCTCCCTTTCCAATTTCCTCTGTACCCTTACTGGATGTGAAGACTGGCTGCAATACTCCCAGCTGCATTCTTAATGTGCATGTCAGTAGCCTTGACCAATCACCTCTATGTCTTTGCCACTTCCTTGGGTTGGGTTGGGTTGGGTTGGGTTGGAAGGGGGTATTGTGCTTCATAAATGGCAGAAAATCGATCGCCTTTGGGATATCAGGTCAACATTTTGCTTATGGTTATTTTTAGTTCTGAAATACCTGTCTATGGAAGAGAAAAAACATGTAATAGGTAATTGGGAAAAGGATAGAAGCTTGCTGTGTGGGAGAATAGAGAAATAGAAACAGTGGAGTAAGTCATAGTGCCTATACCATTCTACCACAGCACCCATGTTGGATGAATCCGTTATCATACAGTTGGTGGAAATGGGCTTCCCCATGGACGCCTGCCGGAAAGCTGTCTACTATACAGGGAATAGTGGGGCCGAAGCAGCCATGAATTGGGTCATGTCTCACATGGATGATCCAGGTAGGCAGAGGTGGGTAGCAGGATGGGGCAGGCCTCCATCCACCCCCCAAAACACTCATCCCTTCCCCATCCACAGATTTTGCCAATCCCCTCATCCTGCCTGGCTCCAGTGGGCCTGGCTCCACCAGTGCTGCAGCTGATCCCCCACCAGAGGACTGTGTGACCACCATTGTTTCCATGGGCTTCTCAAGGGACCAGGCCCTGAAAGCTCTGCGGGCCACGGTATGGGCTGCTCCAGCTAAGAACTTGGAGCTCATGAGGAAAAGTGGGGGTGGAAGTAAAGTTATATGAACACCTTTGGTTAGGTACCAAAGCCTAGTATAGTGTGGCTGAAACTGGCTGCCCCTTGTGTGATTGTGATAGTCACAGTGTTGGTGTGCCTTCCTGCCTGCCTGCCTGCCTTGTCCAAAAAATAACACTTCCCTCCTCTCCAAGAACAATAGTTTAGAACGGGCTGTAGATTGGATCTTCAGTCACATTGATGACCTAGATGCAGAAGCTGCTATGGACATCTCAGAGGGACGCTCAGCTGCTGACTCCATCTCTGAGTCTGTACCTGTGGGACCTAAAGTCCGGGATGGTCCTGGAAGTAAGTGTCCCCCAGCATGAGGGCAAACCTGAGGCCCCTCATTCCAGCACTGTGCCCTCCTGTCTGAGGGATTAGAAGCTTTGCCCCATGTTCCCTGAAATTCTTGTCCTGAGTTTGAGCTGTTAAATGCTGTCTACACAGGAACCTCATGTTTGCTCGTCTGCTTTATCTTTCTTTTCTTCCCCAGAGTATCAGCTCTTTGCCTTCATTAGTCACATGGGGACTTCTACTATGTGTGGTCACTATGTCTGCCACATCAAGAAGGAAGGCAGGTAAGTGGCTAGCAATATGCACTGTGAATGAAGAGGTGCTGGTGGGAATGAGGAAGGGCAACCTGGAAGTCCCTAGAATATTTGTAGGAGAAGGCAGGAAAAAAAAAAACGCCTCCCCCCAGGAATAGGCAAGCCACATCCCAGGGCTGAATCTGGCTGTCCGCTTTTGTAAATGAAGTTTTACTAGTACATAGTCATTTTATGTTTATGGATCACCTTCGACAGCAGTAAAGTTAAATAATTGTGGCAAAGACTGTAATTATTCAATGAAAATGCTAGTCAGTAGCTCTGTGTAGTGGCTTATAGCCACGGTGCTAGCATTGGAGGTGGAGGCAGGTGAGTAGTTGAAGCTCATCCTTGGCTACATGGTGAATGATTTTAAAGTGAGCCTGGGCTCTATGAGACTCTGTCACCAAAAGGGGTGGGGGTGGCCTATAGAGATGCTTATTGGTTAAGCTCATGCAGAAGACCTGGGTTCAGTTCCCAGCAACCAAATGGAGGCTAACAAGTATCTGAAACTCTATTTCCAGGGATCTAGCATCTTCTTCTGGCCTTCATGAGCACCTTCACTCATGTGCATACACTCCAAAGACAGACAGACAGACACACACACACACACACAATCCTTTTTTAGAAAAGAAAAAGGAGGGGGCTGGAGAGATGGTTCAGTGGTTAAGAGCACTGGTTGCTCTTCCAGAGGACCTGGGTTCAATTCCCAGCACCCACATGACAGCTCACAACTGTCTGTAACTGTCAGTTACAGGGGATCTGACATTCTCACACCAATGCACATAAAATAAAATTTAAAAAGTAAAAGGATAGAAAATGTTGGTCTCTCTGGTTCCTCCAGCTTCACAGGAATGGGTGGAAGATGATTATAAAAAATGCAATAGGCTGACAAGATCTTAATGAGTAAAGACACTACCTCAGTCCTGACAGCCTGAGATAGATTCCCAGAACCAGAAAACTACCCTCTCTGACCTCTGTGTACACTTTAGTGCAAAATAAATTATTGTAATTATTGAAAATACAATCTGTTTGGGAATGGTGATGCACACCTTTAATCCCAGAACCCAGGAGGCAGAGGCAGTTGGATCTCTTGAGTTTGAGGCCAGCCTGGTCACAGAGTGAGTTCCAGGCCAGCCAGGGCTGTTACACAGAGAAACGCTGGGGGGGGGGGGGGGGGGGGGGGATGGCATGATGTAGTTGTATACATATTTAATCCCAGCATTGTGGAGGCAGAAATAGATAGATCTTTGAGTTTGTAGCCAGCCTGGTCTACATAGTATTCCAGGATAGCCAGAGCTGTTGGGATCCTGTTTCTAAGTAACAATCTGAAGACTCCAAATGGAAAATGACTCTTAAGGGATTTTGAAGTTCCTTTCAGACTGCTAGCTGGACTATAGATTTGGGGATCTCAGCATTAAATGAAAGTTGGGATCCTTCCCCAGAAACACCTCAGAGATCTCAGGTGGGCACCTGAGAGATGAACATGATACAGCTTGGATGCCCACTTTGTTCATCCTTCCTTCTCTGTCCCTTCCCCCATTTTCCAGATGGGTGATCTACAATGACCAGAAAGTGTGTGCCTCTGAAAAGCCACCCAAGGACCTGGGCTACATCTACTTCTACCAGAGAGTGGTCAGCTAAGAGCCTGACCTCAACCCTTACCACTTCGGGCAGGGGACAGACCATCTGGCATGAGGGATGGGGTTGAGGGATGGACTTAAGCCCCCTGCTCTGTACCCTTTTTCCTTTTGTCCCCAGCAGCCGGAAAGAGCTGGAGGCGGTAGGAGAATGGCCAAGCAAAGAGAAGGGGTACTCAGTAGACTTTGGGGATAGAGCAGGGATGGGACAGGAAGGGGCCAACTGCCTATCCACACTGGGACCTTGTTGCTTCCTTTCCCTGCCCCTGGAATCCACAGTGCTCTGCTTCTCTGTGATGACCCAGCCCCTCGAGTTGGGAGGGGTCTTAACTGTGTGTGCGTGGGTGTGGCTTTATGCATCCTTCCAGGGGAGGGAGCGACTGTGCCTCCCCTCCCCTCCCCTCCCCTTCCCTTATGTGTTTGCTCCCTCGTGGTTGGGCAGAGAAGGATAGGAGGGAAATAGGGACACCTTCCCCCTTTGTTCTTCTGCCTCAGCCTCCCATTCTGTGTCTTTGGTCCTCTGGAAAAATGCCAAAATACATGATGTGAATAAAAGTACAATGACTGGCTGGTTTTGTTTAGTTCTTCATGGCAAACTTACTTTCCCTGAGTAAAGTTACTGATGTGGGGGGCAGACAGGTTCAGAGAGGCCCAACTGGGGTCCTTTGCCCTGCCTCCACCCTCCCACCCTGGGGAATTTTGTCTTTAGTTCTAAAAGTGCCCAGAAAACTGTGAGGTGGGGAAGTGGCTGCTTCCCCCCTCTACTGACCATGTACTTGGTCCAGCCCCAGTGTTACAGGATAAATAGAGGGTCTAGAGCAGGCAGTGGGCAGTCAGATGGTATTAGCTGACAGGCTTTACAAGACAACAGCCAGTCTGCCACCTCCCTTCCTGCACGCCAGTGTATCCCACTCTTTGCTCCATTTGGCCAAGACCTGACAAGAGAGGGACCCAGTAATCACCCGAAACGTTTGTGAAACACTTGGGCCCTTCCCTAGTGATTGCTGGAAGGGCTCCTCGACCATGGCTTTTTGCCTTGTGCTGTGGGGAAAGGGGGCCTCTCCTTTGGAGAGGTGCTCAGTCCCAGTGAGACTGGTTTAGGGCCATATTGCTGCCAGCCCTTTGGTTTCCCTGAGCGCGAGGCTCAACATCTCAACTGTCGAGCAACAGGCGGGACGTTTGAGCCCCCGGAACCCCCTAGAACGTTGCTACAAGAAGGGAGAAACGTCAGAATATCGAAACACCGGGAGGTGGATAGGTTGAGGGGGAAGGCTTAGCAGCAAGGGGCCGGGCTAACCATGGCGGAGGGCGGGAATGAGGAGGAGTTCTGCTTCACGGCACTCTATATAAGTGGCCAGTGGCCAGGGACGTGCGTTCACACTGAGGTTCAGCAAGTCTGTCAGAGCGCGGAGGTTCAGCAAGTCTGTCAGACCGCAATGGCGCCTTCCAGGAAGTTCTTCGTTGGGGGCAATTGGAAGATGAACGGGACGAAGAAGTGCCTGGGAGAGCTCAT